TTGTTGTTTGACATGATGATAACAACGGATAGAATGTAGCTTAAAAGAAAAGATTATCAGTTTTCCGGTAACAGAACCAATTTGTTTAACCAAAAATCTGAGTCTTTGGTCAAAGTAAGAAATAAAGAGAAATTCGGGTTACTGATAATCAAGAGAATAATAGAAGATTTCTGAGAATAAGTAGTTTTGTATTTCAGTGTAATCTCGATAATATTTCGTGTGTCTACAGATGTTGAGTCCTTCTCCTTTTATAGTTGATTCTAGGAGAAATGTAATGTCTGTCTTAATGAGGCAATTATGAGCAATAAATGACATTAAAAGGAACGTTACACAATCATTTCTATTTAATTCAAATATTCTAACGTATTTGATATTTAATGTTGTATTTAGACTCTTTTACGTCATCAGATTCGTATCTTCAACCTCTTCCGATCTTCGATCTTTAAATGACTCGAATAGGTACGAGACTCGTACCTATTTGAGTAACAATCCACACCTATGTTGTTTTCTTCCTCCTATCTGTTGTCTCCCTGCCTCTTGGCTATTTATTGCGTTTTGACCTTTTGACCAGTCCACGTGTCTTGACACGTCATCTTCAATATTCAACCTCAGTTTCCCAATACTGCGAAAAATAGAATGTAAGCTACTTTACTCCTACCCGGAGGACGGACAGGCTGTTTCAGATCGTAAGCGGATTTAATCAATAATTAAAAGGAGAATAGATGGACAACCAATGAGGGGCCCTCGCATGCAATTGTAAGTCTTGAAATTTCATCACCCAAATAATGCAAACATGTGGTCCCCCTCTATCACCATTGTAATCCATTTACAAAGGAATCATATCAAGAAAAATACATCACTGTCTCTCACACTTTGAGCTAAAAATGCGTGCATGCTACGTAAAAACACAAGCATAAAGACAACACCATCACCAAACACAGTTAATATTCTCAAATCCAAACAAACATCACACATGATAATATTACAACCACATAGTACTAAAGAATTTTACAAAACATTCACACCAAGATTCCAATACAGCTCAAACTAGTCATGTGTCAAACAGTAGCAGCAGTTTGTTACACAAATGGTCGAGATCCATTTCACCTCAGGAGAATAGTCTTATACCTGATGTAACCAAAAGAGAGATGCATCTTGAAGCAAATGCCCGCCTTTAGACAAGGAAAAGAAATGCCCAAGAGGGATTAATGTGATAGGATTAAGGGAAAAAAGAGCAATGAAAGTGAGGTTTTGGGACCCAAATTCGCCACCAAACGTGCACTGGAACTTTTCCAGGGTCCTACTGAGGTAAACAAGTCGTGTATCGTTCACACAGACAGCCAACATGTGGGCAAAACCACATTCCCAAAGGGCAGAATCAACTTTTCTCTTTAGGGTCAAGATATGAACTCATGATTTACCACCTTTTATGGAAGCATGACAAGAAGTTCCCTCCCTTATCTTTAAAGAAGACATGAATAAGACACGACTGGTGATTTTCAAAACCACAGCCAATGGTTCCAACAGAATGACGGAATAAAGACTCTCAAGGGAATTCTCCAATCTGGTTTACTTTGTTTATTCCATATTCCGCCAACCCAACTTTGCCATACCATCTAAGCTTTAATTCTGCTTTATTCATCGGAAACATTTAATACGTGCTTCAGACCGCTACGTCACCAGGAAGCTATAAGAAATACCATTAATAACTCAAAATTATGACCAGGGGCAAGCTGAAGCTCAAAGAGAATCAAGTCCTAGAGACTTGGCTTTCACCTTCAGGGATCTCAAGTAACGGATTGCTTCATCTATAACAACCATCGAGTCTTTTCCCTTCCCTCCAGGGATTATTTCCTGCAAAATACTTATAGTCTCGCGAATTTTATCTTTTCTTAGCCTCTTTTTCCCAGATGGAGAACACGGTGCTCCTGAAACTTGGTCAAAGCCATTGGCGCAACTGGATTGTGCATCATCCTCTAAGTCGGAGCACGTATAGGCTTTTGCAGAGGTTGCAGTATCCCTAAGCGACGGTGCATCATAGCTACCATCTAACAGTTTAAGCCTTTTGGTTGGCTTCGCAGAACTAGCTACTTCTTCACCCCTTTCGTTAAAGCATTCTGGTAAATCATGAGTTGTCATAGTACTAGGCGAGTGACCAGTGCTTCTTTCTTCATCATCCTCGGAATAATAATCATCATCTGAATAGAGTAGGACGTTCAGTTCTTCAGTATCCTCACGCATTTCACTTTCGACATCATCTCTGTTACTTTCTTCATAATATTCATCACCAAAAAAATGCCCAAATGGAGAAACTTCATTCTTTTTAATCTCTGGATCCTCCTTAACCAAATTATAAAGGGCAGGTGGTGTTGGATTCAAAGAAGACGGGCATTGTACAGGAGTAGCATTAGCAGAACTATAGATCAAAGTTGTTTGATCACCAGATTGATCAAAAACAAGGAATCTCTTCTGAGTAGATGCGGTGCCTGCATTAGGATATTCGATTGCTCGAGGAGCAAGCTTCTCTTCCGGTAAAGCGGTCGAAACAGGAGCAACTCCCTGGTAGAACGGAGCCGAACAATATAACCAATTGCTAGGTTCAGTTGGCTGGCTTGCGTTTGACTGTAGAAGCCCAGAAAATGTGAAAAAGGGAGAATTCCCATTCATAGGAACCTCATTTGACTGAGGAGTCATGTAAGTAGGAAAATAATTCAGCTGCCCTATATCAAATCGAGGATAAGAAAAATTCAAATGGGCTAACTGCAGATCTGAATACTGGTGATGAAACAAAGATCCGAAGTCCTTTTCCATTCAACCTCAACAATCACCTGAAAATTAGACAAGAATCCAACAAACTAATCAGATAAATTATCACCAAAATTAATCTAGAAAAACGGCAATAAGTTGAAGGTTGCAAATCAATACCAGTTCTAAACAACTGCAAAACTACGAATTGCTGTTTATTTCTTGCACTCTTGATAAACAACGAAAAAAACTAAAAACTCCAGCTTAACTTGAACGCGGTAACAAGAAAGATCAATCTACGTGACAGGTTTAAGCAAATGACGGAAGTATTCAGCCTGAAATACCAACAAAAAAAAGTAAAGTAGATGTCTTCCAACAAGCAAAGGAAGAACAAGGAATCTCATCATGTAAAAGTTATTCGATTAAGCAAGGATTCCAGAAGACAAAAAGATAAAGAGAATCTTATTATTCAAAATACAAAATGTCCATCACTGACCTGGCAATCTTGGAGTGGTTGAAAGCATGCTATGACTCTAACTATTATGGTGGCAGACCCATCAATTCCATTTTCATGTTTCAATGCACGAAATCTCGTCTGGCCAGCTGCTTGACACACCATAACTACTTGTTCCCAACCCTTTTCACTCAATACAAACACCTCAATCTTCCAACAGAACAATCAAGAAACAAAAGAATTCCGAACAATCCCCTCTAGGAAATGATTGAAGATTCGCTCAAATACACAGACCGTCAAAAATCACACCCCACAAAATCAAAGACTGAATGCTAAAGATGAAAGTAGTTGTAAAAGTGAACGCTAAAGAAAACAATTCTCACCAAGACTAAGATGAAAGTGAGCAAATTCTCAGCTAATGCTGAGAACGTAACAGGGTACGACAATGAAACGTGTAGATCCCATGGAAAAGATTAAAATGACGACTTAACTTTTAAGATGAGAAATAGAAACAGTAATCTAGAACAAAGAAGCAATTTCTAAAAAAGGGTATTTTACAGAATGACACGGCAATACAAGTTCAAGGAGATGACTTTCCGATAGACGTCAACAGATAGACTACACCACAGCATGCTGTTCTTTACTTTGCTCTATTCGCCACGGTTGTTGTTTGTTCTTTCTTGTGTTTCACCAATTCTATGCTCCTGACAAGATTTCCACATACAACCATCAGCTTTAAACCCATAAACACCAAATGAAAAACAGTCTTTTAAAGATAAAGAGGAATCTTATAAAAGAAGATTTATTACTGAGAACATTAAGAAGGTGTGAGGTGTATTATTATGACAAAAATACACTTTTTCTTTTTTTTACTTTTGCTGCTTAGATTCAAGCTGAAAATCTTGAGACCTGGGAGATTTTTTACAAAGGACAATACAATTTGTTTGTCAAAGGTAAAACTACAGTGACTAGTTTTCTATTCTTCCTAGTTACCAAACACAAACATTTCAGAAATTGCAGCTAAAAATCTCATAGCATGGTCAATCAGTATCCTCTTATATTTCAAAAAAATATACTCTTTGTACTAGTTTCCACAATCAGGGAAAGACACAAGATCTCAGTGAAGTTTTCATTTAACAATGCTAGAAAACAACCAAAAATCTGAACTTTACAACCCAAAAAACCAATATACCACAAACAAACAAAAAAAGGAACCCCATTTAATCAAAATGAGATACAGCAAATGGATTAAAAGAAAAGGCAAGAATCAACTCAAATTATATACACAAAAATGGGGACAAAAAAGAATCAGAAATAGAGACTTACAATAATGAAATTGATTATCCTTAGAAACCCAGAAAAGCAAGAGGATTTTGAAGAGATTGAATGAAGCAGTGAAGAGAAGATAGGGAGCTGAAAGTGTGTGTTTTTTCACTGTGTGTGTGTGTGTGTGTGTGTGTGTGTTTATGGAAGGGAGAGATAAGGAGAATACAGTCAAAGATGAGGGGAGTGCACGGAGGGTGAGACTATATAGAACCAAAAAAGAAAATCATCTTCAATTTTTGGTTGCGCAAAGAATTAATTGGTTTTTCGTACGTGCTAAGCGCACGTTTGGTTTTTGTGTAAAATCATGGTGTGTGTATTGGGAGTGTGGAACCAAAATATTGTTAATTTTTACTAAAAATACTCAAATAAGTGTAAAAAAAAATTACCAAAGTATATATAACGCCACTAATAGTGGCGCTATACAGTAACGTTAACTGTACAGTTACTGTATAGCGCCACTATTAGTGGCGTTATACTGACAAACTTACATAGCTCCATTAATAGTGGCGCTATATGCCTTATACCCTGACCCCATCAATAATGTCTGGGTTCAATAATTTAAATGTGTATAAAGCCACTTTTTGTGGCGCTATATACAAAAAAAAAAA